TACAAAAGCAGTATATAGCAAATTAAATGATATATCACATTATAATAAATGACATCACTATAAAATCATAACAGCATCATTAGCAGTGTTGAAATACATCCTAGATACATATATTCTCCATACTAGACCCTAAATGCCTGCTTAAATACCAAGTTTTCCCTGATCTCAACATTACCAAGGATCTTGATGTTATTTCTGGGAGGTCCTGAATGAGAACTCCAGCAGAAAAATGTTTGCTTCAAAGTCTCTTCCTGCAGTCTCGGCGCGGGGTGGGGGTGGGGGTTCTTAGCATAGTTGTGCTACAGACACACCTCAGATGGACAGATTCTACTTTAAGTAGGAAATCAAATAAATATCCAGGTCACAAGCCATACAGGACTTTGTAAGTGCAACTCCCAAAGTGCAGGTGTTACATGTAAATACCTTTAATTTCCTGTTAGTACATAAAATGCAGCTACATTCTGTACCAGATGAAATTTTCTGGGTGGTTTTCAAGGGCAGTCCAATGTACAGTGCATCACAATAATCCAAGATGTGATAAGGCCATGTCTGATTGTGGGTAATGCTTCCCATTTAAGGAACAGACTTAAGTGATATTCCAAAGCTGGGCAAAGATTCTCCTGGTGACAGCTTCCACCTCTTATTCTAGCAAGTGCTGTGAGTCCAGAGGAGTCCCCAGTTTATGAACCAGTTGTTTCTGTTGGAATACACCTTATGGAAAGCTACTGTTGGAACTATCCGAGAATCAGCTGGTTTCTGGTTTAACAGCCACCCCGTCTTGTTTAGGCAGAGTCTCAACCTGTTACTTCCAATCCAGATCCTCAGAGCTTCCAAACACCTGGTCAAGACTTCTACTGTATCTCTGTAGGGAGAGTAAGGGAGGTGACCTTGACAGAAATAAGCAAGAATTGTTACCTAGGCAAAAAGGGCTGAAACATTATTTAACTCCTAGGAAACAAGATAATATTTGGAAGTGGTTCAGGCAAACATCTCCCTGATTCATTACGGTATAAGAAGGGGATACAGTATAATCTGACATGTAAGATTCTGTTATTACAGTATAGCCAATCTCAATAAAGTATAATTCTAGTCTTCCTGTGGAGTGGATTTTCTGGTCTGGTCTACCTAGTGGGGCTTATATCAATCTAGAGCCCTTTTCAAGGTTTCTGAAACTGTCCTTCCCACAATGAGACTTTAACATTGCTTAGATGGATCTCCTGTCTCCTGTCTGGCCATTTGTAGAAGCTAGGTTGGGCATGGATCCACAGATGATCGATTTCATTCCACCAGGTCTCTGTCTACTTCCTCAGGAGTAAAAGATTCACACTTTTCCCAGATATCCTCACAAGCCATTGTCCTGTTCATCTCTTCATAGCAACTTCTAATTACAAGCAAATGCAAGTCATTTTATCCATGAAGTGCTCTACTAACATGTTATCGTGGCCCTCTAATAAATCTTCTGACCCATTTTTTCTCTTAAAGGGTCCTTAAAAGGGTTTAATTAAAAAGAGTCACTGGATAAGTATTCTATGACTGCACTAAGTAACATTAAGGCCACTTCACCACCTTTACCCCATGATGTAGGCTCTACCTTGGCATAATCCCCAAGTGGATTTCCTCTTTATCTTTTAACAGCACAACTCCTGACTTCATCTCCCAGAGTTCCTCAGTAAGCCAGTGGACATCCCCCCACACACACACACGATCAGCCCACAGGGAAAGGCCACTCAGGGGCAATCTAGTAGAGACCCCTCATAAACCCCTTGTTCCAGATGTTGAGGAAGCCTCTCAACAAAATTGCCATCTAAGTTGCTATGAAATTCCTCAAGTGCTCCCTGAAGCACAATTGGAACTATGAGATACCTGGAACAGACAATTTGAATGGCTCAGCCTCTCTGTGGAGAGTCATGGCTAATCAACCATATAGTCATCAGAAAGTGATCTGTCCACATCAAGGAACTAATCTTTATTCCTCACCACCAGATCATGTCTCCACTGCTATGAACATCTAATAAGTGGCCTCCCTTGTGTTTCAGGCCTGTGATGACCTGAGACAAGCCCATGGTTTTCATGGCTACCATGAAATCCTGAGCCACTCCTGGCCTTACCTCCAGGACTGGCAAATCACTCAGCACTAAAAATATGTGTATCAGCCACCATTCTCAAGCATGGTCACATAACTCAGGAAGATATGCTGCTGTGCAGTTGGGAAAACAGTACAACAGCAGCACCATAGATTTTGTCAAGGAGACACATAACATTTTAGAACAGTGGGGCTTATCTGGAGAAAACTATTTGAGATATTTCAAATGCACTGATAAGGGAAAGTCATCAGCTGCATTCTTCTAAATGTGTTTTAAAAAAGTAAATAAATATGTTACTAAAATCCACATGATTATGTGATATTTCAGTTCTGATATCTTTGGAGTTTTTCCAGCATAAAGTACAGTCCACCAAATTCCTATTGAAATTACAGACACAAATGTGAACAATTAGATCCCTGCAAGTGTAATTGCCCAAGTCTGAAGTCACTGAATGCAAATAATTTATCACTATACTGCTGCCTTATAGGCATGGGATTAAAACCAAATGCTACGAAAAAGAAACAAAACATAATTTCTCAGCTGATTATATACAGTTTCATATGCCAAATTTATATGAGGAATTGACCATTCCACAGTAATTATGTCAACCATATGCTTCTAACACTTTTCTTTCTTTTTTCTAAGTGAAACAACTTGCATAAAACAATCTGTAAATAAATGATTTTCCCTGGGTAACTGGAGAATGATTGGACATCAGCAACTGTATTAAACCAGTTGTAGTATCAAACTATATGTATTCAAAGATATAAACAACTTTTTTTTTTCTCATTGAAACTACAGGTTATTTCTGGAACAATGTCAGTCTTAAACTACAGGGCCCTCCCCAAAATTAGTACCTGGTAGGTATGCGAGAATAAGGTAAATCAAACAAAAAGACATCTTTTTGCTTTTTTATTTTCTATAATGGCTGATTAGCTTCATAATTATTAAGATAAGACTGCCCCAAATCAGTAAAAATTTCATTTATACCACTGATGATAGGACAAAAGTTGTACAGTATCCAAACAAAAGCATAAAGCCAGTTACTGAGCTAATGAAATACCATGCTGAAACTAATATTCAGGAAAAATTGCTGACAGCTAAACAAACAGAACACTTACAACTCAAGTCTCTTAGTGACTCAATATTTCTCAACCATAATGTGCATTTTCCCAACATCACTGCACATCACTCTATCTCCTAATGGGAACCAAAAGAAGAAAATACATGTATAGGAATGAGAGAAAAATGTGACAGTGCATAGGAAAGAGTTGCTATATCATGCATCATAACAAAGAATGGGATGGAGCAAATGGGAATGTCTGACATTTAATAAAAGCTCTTAGCAGAATTACTAGTATCAGTTTGCAGTATACTTGATAATATTACCAGCTATATATACAGCTTTAAAACTGGTATACTAGCAAGATTAAGAAGAGGGTATGAACTGAAATTCATAATGTCATTCTATGCAAATCTATTCAGAAATAAATCCCCATGAAGTTCAGTTGGTCTTATTCCTCAGTAAGTAGGTATAAAAAGATGACAGCCTCCATGTGTTATATTTGGTGTAATTCCTAATGCTTAAAAAAAAAAAAAACAGATTTTGGTATAGAGAGTAGATGCTTGGCCTTTCAGGGTGAGCATAATTATGATAGTAGGCAAGTGAACATAAGCTTTTATTAATATAGTGATTAAGGACTACTGGTATGAAATGAAATTTAAGTTTCTATTTGTGATTGGTATAGTATTTTTGTGTCATCCGCATGGTATTCCAGGTGGAATCAGGACATGACAGAAGATTGCTATTGATCCTCTGCTGCTATCTGCAATAGGTGTAACACCAAATAAGAAAGAATAGGGAAAAACCTATGCAATTTATGAAAGGACTCCTTTTTGGTTGTTGCCACTTAAAAAACAATCTATTTGCAAATATTGATATTAGCTTTAACAATATGTGCAATAGCTCTAAATATCCAAATGCTAATCTCCTGGAAATAACTGGCTGACTATTAACTATCCTCAATTTAATTCCCATAGGTAAAGAGTTCACAATTCCAGAATTCACACATGCCAACTGCTGTCAACCTCTTAAATCAAAGTGCTTTGATGACCAGTCTTTCTACTTCCTGACATACTGATCTTTAATACAAACATTTGTTTAAAATATATTTATCAATATTCAAAAAGAGGCACACTAACAGATATTTAAAAAATGGGAGGGATGGGGAACACTTGTTCAGCAATTTGGGATACTTCTTAGTATCAGTATTTTTCACTTCAGTGAACTTCAGTGAACTTCAGTGAACTGAAAACAATTCAAAAGATTTAGCCAACAGACAAGTTTATGAGCCATCTCTTTTTGAAGAAGAGTTGATAAGATCATATGTATATTGGACTATTTAATGGAAAAATTAACAACTTTTTCTCAAATAGTTATTTTTGAGACCACATAATCAAAATAGAATTTACCCACTTAAAGCATGCCTGCAGATAATGCCTTTGAGATTCCCCATCCCCACAAGGTGCAATGAGAGGAAACTTGGAAATGAGTATTTTCTGCAGGAGCTCCTCTCTTATGGAATGCCCTTTCACTATGCCCTTTGCTGATGGTATTTAAGATGATTTTTAAAACCCGGCTACAAAGAGAATTTGGTTACTGAAATGGTTGTTAGCTGGCTGTGCCTGGGACAATTGCAGGCAGTGGTAATGTATTACTGATATTTATTATGATTATCTGGTTATCATTTTATACCTATTTAGGATTATTGCATTTTTGTGCTTTATCACTGCATTATATTTTCCTGCTTGCAAGCCACTTGAAATTGCAACTGAAATGACATAAAAGCCTTCATAAATAACCAAACAAACAAACTTGCTCACACTTAAATATCTGAGATTTTTCTTACAACATACCTGGCATAATAATATTGGAAAAGCCCAGCTTCCTTGTTATCGATACTCCATGGGTAAACATGGATGTGTAGTCTCTCCTGATTTGTTCAATGTCTCCATGGAGCAGCTGAAGAGAGACAGCTAAACCTACAAATAGGAAGGGAAAACTAGATGACAACAGTAGGATCCAAACACTAAACATGTTTATTGACTAACATGGGAACAGAAGAAACTCAAACAAGTAGCATTCACTTTATAAAAGATACATTCAGCATAATGAATATGACCAGCATTCATGCTGTTAAGAGTCCTCCCATTCTCAAGTAAACAGTCCATACAGTAGAAAGTTACTTTGCTACCCAAACAGACCTCAGAGGTGTTTAGTATTGGTACATAAAGTTGAGACTATTCAGAAATAAGAATTTCCAATTGTTACTCATGGACAGCTGATGAACTATGAAAAACAAAGAGATGTAGTGTAAAATAAAGAAAAAAATCCTTTCTTACTGCTAATAGATGTATTCATTTTAGATATGCATTTTATTAGGAAAAAAAATTCTTAGATGCAATATTACAATCATTATGGTCTTTAATTATTTCAAAATATCTGAAATAAACTATTATGCACTTCCCAGCCCCTTGCATTGTTTTTGTTCTGAAAATGTTTAAGGTTGAAAACTTTACATTTAGTTAGGACTTAAATGATTTCTTGAACTTCTTTTTTTCATGCTTCAGATTTTGGGGGGAAAATGTTAGTTTGTCAAGAAAGCAGGAGAATACCATCTATTAAAGCACTTTTTAACAAAATCTGAAATAATTGTTTCTTTATCATATTAAGCTAAAGCTATTTTTACTTGTTCAGTAAATATGCCTTCAATGGGTGGAGAGAGGGCAGTTTCATATTTCTAGAGATGGACAGAATCTCAGAGAGCATCAAGGACCCCACAGTTCAACCCTGAGCTACAGATATTCTCTTCTATTGGAAAAAATGTTAAATTTAGAACAAGTTTTGTTTTACAAAGAGCATTCATGAACAATCACATCTCACAAGGAACAAAATGATCAGATTGGCTGCAGCTGAACTGTGCAGGGAAAGAAAATTATCCATTTGTCTGGATTTTAAATCTATCTTACAGACAGGCAGGACCAACTTTGTAAGAAGGTTTAGAATGTGGTAGAAATGTTCAAGGCTGTCTGTATGGAAGGATACAGTTAGCAAAGGATAAAGGAAAAAATAATAATAAAGCCACTCAGGAGACCAAACACACACACACCAATGTCTACATATTAACCTGAACCAACAATCCAAAAATATTAACTGCAGGCTTCCAGTCTCAAATAATGGAAAAACCTTCAGTATATAAAAATGAAGATGGCAGTTTTGAGAGCATTTCCAGCACAGAAAATGTCACAAAACTATCTTGATTGGCCAGTATATGGTATAATACTTTCATAGCAGAAATAATGTGGGGAGAGAAAGACATCTAATAGAAATATGGAAAAGATCAGACAGAAGTGAAAATAAAAAGAATTGGTGCAACAGCATGAAAATAAAAATGAAGAGTTAAAAGATGATCAACAATTTAGGATTATTACTAATTTTAAAAATGGACTTAATATATCTTAAAGTCCTATAATAAAAAAGGAGTGAAGTTTATGCTACAAAATAAATAATAAAAATGGTTGAGTAAGACATTTTTTCTACCATACCATAACTGTTACATTCAGCCCACTGTCACTTAAATTAACTAATCAAAAGTACAAAAGATAAGCAGAAAAATGAACAAAGATATTATAGCAACATTTGAGTAATAACAGTAATTAAAATTACACTTTTGGAGCTCTCTAGACTTTACTGTTTCTTCAAGCAGCACTAACCACAGCTGTAAGGTTCATCACATAATTCAATAGTAAGTAATTAAGTAATTTTAGCAAACAAGACGTTTTTGCATACAACAAGAGTAATCATTGTAACAGGACCAAATAGCAGCTCCAGTAATAGAACTTTAGGTATAAGGCAGGTTCCATATCACATATATATAAAATATATAGAAACAACTCTTAATGTTATTTTTTAAAGCTTCATTCTTAAGTTATAGCTGCAAGTTTTTACAGTATGCTTAGCCAACCTGTAATTCTCTGCTTCTTTAGGAGCTATCAAAACCCTGTAACAATAATATTAAACACTTTTCTAATTCAGCAGGATTTAATTGTATTAGAATATAAACAATATAAACTAGCATAGGAAGATAATTAGTTGAGTACCTAGTGGCAAAGGTAACAGTTTGAATAAGCAGCTGTGTTAGATTATTGTAGATGATGTATATAATGAGGCAGAAAACAATACAGTATATTGCAGTTAGTGGAAATGAGTGGAAATTTGGAAAATTTCTGACAAACAAATCCAGTGTTCGGACTGAAAAATACTGGTATAGCTTGTGTGCAGTATCTTAAGACACAATGAAAGGAGTTTTCTGTTAGCATAGTCACACAATGACAGTACAATAAAAATACATTTAAACTCTGTCCCAACATTGCTCCCAGGTGCAATACTTTCCTTTGTTAATTATTTTTATTACTTAGTATTATGTAACATTATTATTATGTTTTATAGAAGGAGGCAACATGTGATCTTTCAAATCTGGGATCATTGTTCTCACCATCTTTCCCTGTTGCCATGTTGGCTAGGATTGGTGGCCGTTAGAATTTAGCTCTTATTCCCAAATTCTTGAGATACATATTAGAGTTTGGGGCCAGAACCTATAAATGCCTCTATTTCTTCTGAACTCCGCAAGAAACCTTCTCCTTATGAGGATTAAAGCCTGAATCTATGTTTCCTGAACCCCTTATGTTCTAGAATAGCTCATAAATGTTTACAAAATGTTGCAAACTTTTTATCCCCATCCATGCATCAGATGCATGTCTTATAGTTATTCAAAGCCCCTAGAGACACTCATGGAAGATAAAACAGCACTTGTCAATCACTGGAGGCCAGATTTCATTAGATGGCAATGTTATGACCTCTGTTGTGAGTATCTGGAGTAATAACTACTAACTCAAAATCCTGAATCAGTGCTGACTTTATTAATCAAATTGTTTTAACATTCATTAATCATTTAAAAATTGTAATGCTGAGATGGGCAGCTATAGAAATCAAATAAATATATAAATAAATATTTTTTATTTATATTAAACAATGAATCATGTGTGCATCTACTGCATAATTCACAAATTTAAACTTTTAACATTAATCAATATTTTACTACATTCAATTATAAATCAGAATTCAAGATATCAGAAAGAATAAACTGGGTTTCCTATACAGTGACACCTTCCTCCTTAATATTAACAGGAGCTTATCTCCTGGCATGTACTAGTTGCATTTAGGCATAATTATATGCAATATGGTGACCATTTGGCTCATGAACTCACCTTTTCTTCCATTTTTTTCACCATGAGCACAAAAGACCTCTTAATAGTTTTATGTTTTCAGTTAATTATGCTGAGTTACTATACCCAAAACCAGACAAATAGAGGCTAATTTCAAATGTAGGTTTTGGGCAAATTGTTTACACTACATGACAAAAAGAGATTTATTCAAAACAGCAGAACGTTATGAATTCTTTCAGTCTACCTGTTAAGAAAAAGTGGTGATTTGCATAAACTATAGTTTATGTCTAAATCTAGCCGCTGGTTGAGAGTAATAAGGCTTTTGGTGGCTTCTTTCCTTGTGATTTAGTATACCAGATCACATAACTGTATCCACACAAGTGATTGCTTTTTGTTAGTAGGTTAGAACCCTCTTTTTTTCAACCTTTTAAAATACTACTTAATATTTTCCAAGTAGGTCTACAGACATTTACTTAGACAGAACATTTGAACTTCAAAATACTTTTTTTCCACAGATTAAAATTAACTGAGCAATACTTGCTGAGCAAAAAACCCTGTCAAGGTTCTATTGTCTTGGCCTTTGATTTACTGAAATGTTTTATGCTATATTTATGCTGATTCACAAGAGCCCAGCTTCATTTCTGCTTTCTTTTAGATAGTACTGTGCACTGACAATCAGTTCTCATGCTGTCTGCTAATATTTACCAAAGCACAAACAGGCAAATCAACATTATAATATACAATTTGCCACATTCGTATTCCCTGGCATATAGATTCTAGGCACATAGATGCTCTGGGATTTTTTTTTAATAACGTGAAACACACGCCATCCTCGTAATTATTATTATTATCTTCAAGTTGAAGAAGTGCCAGTTAATATAACCCGTTCTACCACACAGTAATCTTTTAACAACCTCATCCCAATAAGCATCATTCTTAGTATTGCAGAAAGGTCCATAAAAGTTTACTAAAATATAATCTCCCTTAGTCTAACAAAAGTCAACCAAACACCCCAAACTGTACTATTTTTTCTAAACTACGACATGGAGAAAAGACTGTGAGAGAATTTTATAAACTCAAAGGGCACAGAAAATCTTTGAAGAAAACTACATATTTTAAAAAGGATAAAGTTTACAGGATAAAGTTACAAATTTCTCAAATTATTTACCAGGAACAGAGATTCCCTACCCTACTGTAAATGTTGAACAAGCTGAACAGGGTTGAAACCAAGTGTTGTAACAGATGCAAAGCGAAGAAGTGCTGTCTGTAATAGTAAATTTTGCCAAACAAAACTAAAAAATAAATTTACCAGCATTGGATCCTGTCAGGTTATAGCGTGCATTTAGTTTTTTGATGATGTTTTCATGAATCTGATACCAGTCACTCTCTGTGTTACACCTGTAAAAGAAGTAACATTGTAAAAACTAAACAAGAGAGCAAGTTGCCAGTTCAGAGGATTTCTCACCAAATAAGAAATGGTGAGCATTGTCTCCACCTGTAATATGTGAACATCCACTGGCACCTGAAATGTCTCATGAAAATGAATTTAAGACACTCTGCTCAGAAGTAATGCTGACTCAACAGGAAAAGTAAGAATGCATCCAGAGTCAGCTCCAGGTTTAAGGAAACCCTCAGCAAAATTGTCCTCTGTTGTAGCTATTCAAATTTAAGCAGTAACTTTGATATAATTCACTTACTCACCATCATTTTACCAGACTTATCTGCTCAGACAGCAGCAGCACAAGTTCCATTGTCTGTTTACATGTTAATGACCAAAAATACATTGACACAGTATTGTTTCACGACATTATGCACAATTCTAACTGGCAAATGACTTGTTGCTATTAGGCAAGCTTGCACGTGAGGACTCAGTCCCATATCAGCTCTTAGTGCCACCAGTGAGATATGTCTGGTGTTGAGCTTAGGTTGAGCGCATCTAATCTTGATAAGTTTGGGATGTTTTAATTTGGATTTCTGCAATGAGAAGGGGGTTGGATGTTATGGCTTGATGTGACCCTTCCAACTTCATGATTCTAGGTCCTATCCTCTGCTTTAAAGAAAAGACTACAACTAAAAAATATGTTTTCAATAGAGAACACAGTTGGAAAGTAAATTTGTCCACAGCTGATACATTCAGAAGGGAACACTTCCAACTGAATTCTAACAAAAGTAAAGAAAAATCTACTACACTGCTACCCCATCACATTGCTGTAATTTCTTCTCAAATCCATTGCTTCCAACAGCTCTAATTCAGGATCCTGGGGACCACAGCTAGAGAAAAGTTGTCCTTGAGACACGTAACTGAGTCCTAATCCAAATACTAACTTTAAAAATAATAAGCATTCACCGAACTTAACTGACAAAAGCCACAGAATAACCTCTCAATTTTTCCCTCATTTTGGCTTTCCCAATATTCAAACTTGCATATCGCTAGCAAGACTGCAATTTTTATATCAAAGACCATTTTGGAAAGGATAGACTACCTAGAAGAGAATGGGGTTGACTGCAGGGATGAAGATGTCCTACTGTTTTTTCTGTACTGTGTATAACTGTCTGATATGGTCAGATGGTCATTAGTCAATCAATGAAATATATTGTATTATAGCAAATTTGCTAAGGATGGCCTGGAGGGAAAACAAGATTAAAGCCATTTTCTTCTTCTAGTGTCAGATTTCAGACTGCTTTGAATCTATATTCTTCCAGAAATTCAACCCACATTCAGGAACTAGATAAAAGTAGAAACTTCCCATTCTTTTCTCAACCTCCAGACTGGAATGCATATATTCTATGTTTCCACAGTTGTTCTGTCTGGCTGAGCTGTGCTGGTTATCATCTTACTAGCCTCATCTCTTACATTCAATAATCCTTGGTAAATCCTTGCTGCAGATGGTGGGGAAGCATGGAAAGGGTTAAGTCTCTTCTCAGTTGTTACCAAGACTGCTGTTCCCTGTTAAAACTACAATTGATCCATGACCCCCAGCTGATAGCTGATCAGAAGGGTGGATGGGTTCCTAGGATTCTAATGTACTGGAGCAAGAATCTTGTAAGACCACATATGCTTGCTGAGTTGCTCATATGTATCTTTCAGGGTAACTGTCCAGAACAGACCACAATTTTCTATACAATGGAGTATGAATTTCTATATATAGTTCTATATAGTTCCATATATAGTTTAAGACAAAAATCTACAAATTCATTTATATATGAATTATATGAACCATCCAGAACAGACCACAATTTTCTATACAATAGAGTATGAATTTCTATATATAGATTAAGCAAAAAATCTACAAATTCATTTATATATAGACACTTGGGGGGGGGGAATCCATGAATTATATTCCACTGATAAAATGTGATCTAACTTTTCTTCCCAAATAATGTTGTAATATATTACAAATATCTATATTCTTACATATATACTTTTAAAATAAGGTCATCTTTTGTATCGCCAGCCAGTAGATCTGCTATACTGAGGACTGCACAACCAAAAGGTCGTCGATACTGTATATTGCAAGCATTTTTCTTTTCACCTGCTCCCATTCGGCCTGTAGAAACAAAATACATTATAAAAGGGGGAAAAAATAGACATTAAATAGCATATTTATGCAGAATGGAAAAAAAAATCTACCACCTGCAGTTAATTTGATAATCTTAATGTACTGTAACTGTGTAAACATATTTAAGAACACCTTCAGTCTGTCTCCTTCTGGATTGCTCTAAAAGTGTGAAAAATACAGAAAATGCCCACATTAAACCCTTGTGGAGCCAGCACTCTATTTTTGACTTTTCTTAACAGCATCCACAATTCCCTATAAGCCCTCTAATACTGACATCAGGAGGAACCCGTAGTAAAATCTCTTAAGCTCCAGCTGCATATATTTGCTACAACATCTCTCAGGAGAAGAGGTTGGCAATTTTCATATAGGAATCTAGTAATTCAGATCTCTCATATTTCTATGAGCAAAATCTAAAAAGATTTTTAAAAAACATGATACAAAGTATTTACCTTACATATTCCTTCCAATGTTACCTTATGTATGTGGGCCCTAATAGGTATTTGTCTGGTTAGGCAGCTGTGAGATTTTGTCATTATCAGAGTAAATTGTTTTGTAATCCATGGAGTTATCCATCGTGCCGTATCCATTCCTTACTATGCTGCAGATCTTACAGCTTTAATCTGGCTACCTAGTACTGTACCTCCACTTACAATCTATTGTTTCTCTGGTGGGGCTTCAAAAGCCCAACCTGATTTAGTACCTGTTGCTTTTTGCCCTTGCCAAAAAGATGAGATATACAAGATAATAAAAACAAGAGGTGAAGAACAAAGAAGGAAAAATACTGCAAACAAAAGATTCTTAGATTAACCAACCAGGATTTAAATAAAATGGAACAATTTTATGAGCTATCTCTGGTGTAAGAATATAGGGAGACGTGTGATTATTTTCACCTACTTGTTAAAAGTTACAATTCCATTTTATTTCTACTATTTTGACAAATTGTCAATGGCTTGTGTGCTCTTTCCTTTCAATCTCTGCCTTGAATCCACATCAGCTATATATTTAATTTATGGAGCAATGAAAGGCACGTTCGTACTAACAATCTACATGCTTGATTGCTGCTGTCAAATCTTCTTTGTTTTAAAATAACCTGTGCTCCCTGCCCTAAAAACTGCATTGGAATCTGTCTGAGATAAAATGGAAAAAAACAACATCCCTGGGCTCTATTCTTGGCTTTGCAAGACAGAAACCATCGGCAACTGAGCAAATGCAACTCAAACAGGAAATGTAGTCAACAGAATACTAACTATTCCATTTAACATTTGTGGCTACATTTCTAGAAACATAAACTGCAAACAAAGCATACATTTATACTACATACTCCACATACACATATATACATACACAAAGACATACAAACATACATGCATATATATTATATCTTCTTGCAACTATCTTATCATGTTTCTCATGGGGTTCTTATTTGGGGACAATACAAGGAAATAAAATCCTCCAGAGTAGCTGCCCTAGCTGAGAATTCAATCATTTTTTCTACCCGTACAAACAGTTCAGAGTTTTAAAACAGTAGTAGCAGTAGTAATACACCAAGAGTAATAATAATAATAATTCACATGACTCCTCCCTGTAGTTTGATAGGATAACAAATTCTTTGTTTACATCTGCCCTAAAAAGTGGTTGAGACTGATAAGTAATAAGTTTAGTATAATTCATGTGAATCCTTAACAACAACAATTGCTATACAACTAAAATCTTTTCCTTCTTTTCTTACATAGCATTGTCTATGAACAACCAGGAGAAATTAGTACATACATACCAATGCGTATAATGTGCACAGTAATGTAGATGTCCTTCCTAAGCTCACTGCTCCCCAAATCCTGTGAAGAATCAGAACAATCCAAAATTATCATGTGAAACTTATTTTAAGGAATAGCATTGATATAAACAATTTCAGACGTCTAAGTGTGCTTCTGCCTAGGAGACTGTATAGCGATCAAGAAACAATGAAATATGGAGTAGTCAAATATATTGGATCAACACCACATTTGTACACATATCTGTCCATGGTCCTGAGAAATATTAGTAAAAATTTAACAGTGTTTCAAAAATATAAATAGTGTAACCATCTCCTTTTTAGAGGTCTTCAAGCCACCAAAGCTGCATTAAGTCAAGATTTCAAGTCAGAGAGCTGGATTAGATGTCTTGGAATGGCTACTTCAGTTCTATGCTTCCAGCAAATATAAGACCCATTGTGTAGTTAGGGTTGCAGCCTTGAGCATCAAAAGCTTATTACCCACTTTCAGTTTTACTATACTATAGGGCTGCCATGATGTCATCCAGGTTTTTGAAACTAGATGGGGTCCTAGTTGATCAGATGTGAATAATCACAAGGTGAGTCATATTAAACCATACAATCTGATCCTATCCATGAAAATAAATCCCATTCTGACCATTCTTAAAACATAATTTAGAAAATGTTCTAACAAAGTCCCAGTGAAATAGTAAACACCATGTTTCATACTGGAAAGCGCAAGACTTATTTAATTCTGGAGCTAAAATACACCTCAGAAGCAAACACGAAAGCTATCTTTGTGTCTATCATATCTGAATATAAAATTGCTAAAACAAGTACAGAGATAATAGGCCAAATGGACAGTTAAGTGCATTATTATGTTGTTTTGTTCTTATAAACCTCTTAGATGATAGTCTGATACATCTGTATCATTGCCTGCGCTCTGGTCATGCATTTGGATTACTGAGTAAGGAATCAAACCTTTTTAAAAAGTCATTCAAAATACACCAAATGGGGACAAAAACATAAAGAACTCACCACAAAAAGAGAGCAATATCTTTCTGGTTTCTCTGGGCATTTTGGCAAACCATTCCGATTCAGTTTTAAAAAGAATCTCTCACTGTAAGACAAATATTATGGTATAATTGGAACAGTAAGGTAAACTTATCTGTCACAGTCACATGAAAAAAAATAAATCTATTCAGTACATTTGGGTAAACAACACACTTTTGTCACTGTTTCCAAAGCAATCTTTTCTAACATTCCAGGACAAGGATGCAAAACGTCCCATTGTTCATCTATTTAAGAGAGTAACTTTAATCCTTTTGCTACAAAAGCCAGCTCATTCTAGGTAAAAATGCAGAATTCCATGAGGTTGAGATAATTGCTAGAAGAGCCACCAATATGGAATCAAAGCCAGATAGGTCTTTAAAATAACTCACTGAATGAAGCAGCAACTCCTTAATCATATTTCTCATGATTAAGGAGTTGCTGCTTCAGTCAATGAATTATTTTAAATTTATTTCACAACTAAAATGTTACGGAACCTATGAGTTAATGTAGCATAGGACCTTAGCAAAGGTTCAGCCATCATTATATTACAAAGTTACTGGTAGAAAAATAATACTTGCTTTTTTTAGCCCAAATCAGTAACAAATCACAGTTGTATGGTGAGGAGGAGGAAAAGGGACATAATTAACAAAATTATCTTGGATAAAAATTATTTGTGATACTTGACCAGATGTTCAATTTTGTTTTAGCAAACAAAAAAGTGAAAGTTAAAAAAGGGATTGTTTATTATTTGCTCTGGTTTTTGACTAAGAATTCCTATTCCCATTCTAGCTGATTTATGTTCTATACAGGATACAATGTGTAATGTGGCATCTACTCTTGCAGGATAAAAACAAAAAAATCATGAAAAGGAAAAAGTTTAAAATAGTACATTCTACTTCCGCAGTTTCTTTTCTTATATTTTATGAAAAAAAGGGCAAACTATAAGTGACTGATAATCATCAACTTTTCAGTCAACAGCATCAGTTAGAAACTTAACATGCAGCTTTAAGCTGTTATTACAAGAAATACTAATCAGCACAAGCAATACTGACAAGGTTAAATCCATAAATTGGGGAATGAGCAAGGCTTCCCTTTCTGTGCCTTATAATCAACTTATTCCAAAATTTTGCCATAAATAAGAGATCACTATGTGCATTCTTTTTTAAATAAAGCTGTCTCAGCTGTTTCTTCGGCTTTTCTCAAGGGCAAGTGATTTGTCACCCATATGTTCTTTTCCATATGCAACAGTAAAAATAGCAGCCGGAACATCTATTCAAGTCTTTTAAAAGGCAGAACAAAAGGGCTAATATTAACAGCTGTATCTTGTATATTTTTCCCAACATTCTGTAAGGTTGAACGACCTTTAATGAAGACTAGACAACCCATGACCCGTTGGGGCACTGTTTCCCAGATATTTCCTTACCTAAACAGAGAAGCAGAATGACCAAGGGCAAAAAAGCAGTGGGAGTGGGAGCGACTTGCTGCTGGCTTTCCATTGACTTTGCTTGTGGGTATCTGGCAGGAAGCATCAGAATCCTTCCTTCCTTCCTTCCTTCCTTCCTTCCTTCCTTCCT